AAATACTGTAGTAAATCCCATAAATTAAGTACAAATTAAATAAGATTTTATTATCATTTATTCAAGTCATGATTCTAAGCATCCCACTAAGTCTGTTTTGCTTAACCATTACTGTATTAGGCATTTTCCTCTCCTGAAATGTGAAACATGCTACTGATTTTAATACTTTTCATTCTCCCTTCGTAATTTTAGGAGCTGATTCAGCAAAACAAAGCTTGGTATCACTTAAAGTTCATACCCTTCTTTTCAGTTCTTGCAGAAATCAACTCTACAGCAATAAGTAATTAAAAACACTGTAAAATCGTAACTTGCAGACAGGAAGACTGATTTTAGACTATATTACTTCAAGCACTACAGCCTCCTCAAGGAGAATACACTGGAGAAATCTTGAAAATTTTCCACACACAGATTTTTACTTCTTTCAGTCAAAAAATAAATCCACGGTACTAGAACAGTCTGGTTTGGATTTGTTAAATTACTTTTTGAAAATGTCCTTAGCCATTTCAGTTCTCCACTAATGAAACAGTGTAAACTGAAGGTATGAAACTGTGATGGGAGAATTAATTTTTGCTAATACATTACTAACTTGGATTTAGTAACAAATGACAAAAATGAACAGTTAACTGAAATATGCTACTTTCTCAAGACATTTAAAAGAACAAAAATCACTGGCTTTCCAAACAAAATTAGCATACAAAATTTAGTAACATACAAGATATTTCACTATAAAAACTAGCATTTTCCCCTAAGATATAATCTAAATAAAAATTTGAACAACTTTTAGTATACAGTAATATCCAAAACAGAGTCTTCTAAATACCATCATAGGAAATAATGGTTCAACTCTGTCACAAACAAAAGCTATTGACATGTACTTACATTGCTGTAGGCAGCTGCATAATTATTTGCTTTTCTATGTCAGCCATTCTTAAAAATCTCATGGTTAACGTATAACTGTGCAACAGGTATTTCACACAAATTTCTCAAGAGCAGAACTAGACTAGAAGCTTGAAAGCAATGCTCCAATTTCTAATTAAGTCAGAGAGTAGTCTTGAAAGAACGCATCTGTTCCCTAAAATAAACATACAGCTGAAAGGTTAGCCTTATGCTATAATTCTTTCCTTCCTGAACCCATTCTAAAAATGTAGCAGACTAATAACAAAACTCAAGCAGATTCAGTGAGGGAAACTTCTACACAACCTATTGCACACTTTCAAATTTAATAAGTTTCTTCACAGGCAGGTCATAAAGGCATAAATTCAAAATTGATACTCTGGAAAGGAAAGGCTTCATGCTCATATAGGCAAAATTCAAGAACAGCCTTGATAGATAGTTTAACTTATTCTTTTGCTCTTCAGTCTATTTTCTTTTCCAACCATCACTGCCTTTTCAGAACTCACCCTGGCTACTAGCTACATATCTGCCTTGTCTAGGGTTAGCAATTTGACCAGTCACAAAAAGAAAACAAGATTTGATCAACTTGTCAATCATTTTAAAGCATTAACTTAATTAGAACTACAAAAAAATCCTTAAACCATCAACAAGCTTGATATTTATGCTATTTTCCAGAAAAATGTGTTATTATGAAAAAAATTGATTTATTATGATTTTAAGATGGTATTACAACTTCATGTTAGGTAAGGTCTCTACAAATGCAAGTGAGTAGCTGAACAATTCCTTTTCTTTAGCTTTCTTCCAGGAGTCACAGGGTCTTTGTTTCAACATTTCTCTCCTCTTCTCACACACAAAATAACTGGAATTATCAGAGGTATTTACTTGAAAATAAATGTTTGCATCTTTGATAACTTTTGTAAAAAGTTTTTAAATAAATAGAACTTCTAGAAAAATGAGATGGCCAAGAAAACTTGCCAGGTGCCTTGAGGCTTCTATTCATGCAGTGAATTCATCTAAGCCAGCTACCTGTTGACAGTAAGGTCAGAGGGGCACGGGGGCGGGGGAGAGAAGAAGAGGAGGAGAAGATTGGATTTATACCCCGCCCTTCACTTGGAGTCTCAGAGCAACTTACAAACACCTTTCCCTTACCCTCCCCACAACAGACACCCTGTGAGGTAGGTGGGGCTGAGAGAGTTCTTTCAAGAACTGCTCTTTCAAGGACAGCTCTGACAGAACTATGGCTTGCCCAAGGTCATCCAGCAGCTGCAAGCGGAGCAGTGGGGAATCAAACCTGGGTCTCCCAGATTAGAGTCTGTACACTTAACCACTACACCAACCTTTCTTGGGTCTTTAACTGAACCCTAGCTGCTGATGTTGATGGGGTTCAGCACCACTCAGTAAAATTCTGTGCAGAAAATAAACATGGTGTTTAAAAACTTGTTCTTGCCTCTCTTACTTAGAAAAACTTTGAAAAAATAAAGGTTCTGGATTAACCATAATGACACCAAGTAATATTGTCCATCTAGCATGCTATGTTTAAGAGTCTCTAAAACAGGAGTGACAAACATACGGCCCATGGGCTGGAGCCAACCCCCACAGAGCTGGTATCCAGCACATGAGCAACTGGCTCTCTTCTGCTTACTTGTCCAGAGCTGTTGCTGCTGTGTCGCAGCTTGCCTTCGGCTGGCTCTTTCAATCGCGTAGGAGAGATAAAAACCCAACCTCCCTTCCTTCCATGGGCTGGCTCCTCCCCCTCCTTTGGGGAGGAAGGGATTTAGAAAGAGAGAGTGTGTACTTGAGAGGGAGCCCCATGGCACCTTTAAGAGACCAACAAAGTTTTATTTCCGGTATAAGCTTTTGTGTGCACGCACACTTGTTCAGGGTGGCTGCTGCATCCCAGCCCGGCTCTCTCAATCGCGCAGGGGAGATTAAAAAACCAGCCTTCCTTTCCTCCATGGGCTGGCTCCCCCCCACACCTTTGGGGAGGAAGGAGGAAAAGAAAAAGAGAGAGAGCACACTTGCTTGAGAGAAACTAAAGTCCCTGAGTCCCACAGCACCTTTAAGAGACTATCAAAGTTTTATTTCAGGTATAAGCTTTCCTGTGCATGCACACTTCTTCTCCAGGGTGGCTGCTGTGTCTCAGCCCACATCTCTCAATCACACAGGAGAGATTTTTTTAAAAACCAGCATCTCTTCTCTCTATGAGCTGGCTCCCCCACCCCACTGCCTTTGGGAAGGGGGGGGGAGCACGCTTGCTTGAGAGAGAGAAAAGTCCCTGAGTTCCATGGCACCTTTAAGAGACCGTTAAAGTTTTATTTCCGGTATAAGCTTTCAGATGCATGCCCTCTTCTTTTCCAGGGTGGCGGCTGCGTTGCAGCCCAGCTCTCAATCGTGCGGGAGAGATAAAAACCCAACCTCCCTTCCTTCCATACACTGGCTTCTCCCCCTCCTCCTCCTTTGGGGAGGAAGGGAGGCAGAGGGAAAGATAGCATGCACACTTGAGAGAGAGCAGTCCCGGAGTCCCATGGCACCTTTAGAGACCAACAAAGTTTTATTTCAGGCAGCTGAAAACTCCTCTGTAATAACATTCAGATGGCATTAAGTTGCTGTTTGTGGTTGCTTTTCCCTTGCATTACAGTGCAGAATTAAGATTCCTGGGCTAGTTGCTGAGGGAAGGAATTTCTCAGCTTTGGGCTTAATTGTTGGCATATTAAAAAAAACCTTACTCTTGCATGTTAACTCTGAAGTTTGTGAGTGGGGGTTGACCTGGAGTTTAGTTCATGAGGGCGGGATTTGGGTAGTAGAGGGACTTCAATGGGGTATAATACACATACAGTCCACCTTCCAAAGTGGCCATTTTCTCCAAGTGAATGGATCTCTGTCACCTGGAGATCAGTTGTAATCCCAGGAGATCTCCAGCCATCACCTGGAGTTTCAGTGCAAAAAACTATGGGACCACAGTGTATATATAAGATCAAAATGACACAACTCTCCACCGTGCAAACTAAACTGTTAGCCACTTCAATAATATAAATTTACTAAAGGTTGTCACCAATATAACATCAAACATTACTCATCTTAATATATCTCGATATCATCCAATATCTTACTTACATATAGGTATATGGTATATGGTTTGCAATGAGGTTGAACAAGACATAAACTTATAAGGGTGCACCAAGTCAGCTAAACATTATTTTCTAACAGAAAGTCCTTGTCCTTTATAGACTTTAGCCACAAAGGTGTCACCCCAAAGGACCAGCAACTATACACTCTCCAGATATAAGTGGGTTTTCATAATCTTCTTCAAGGTTGTGACTTCAACAAAATCCTCAGATTGCTCTGGAACTGTCAAATACATAATTATGCACCTAAAACTAGTCTGTTCTTATTTCTGTGTTGTTAACAACAATTTCTAAAGCATTCATATGTTATCTTACCCCACTGCCTTAATTCATTCTTATGCAGCATACAATCTTTCCGTGTACTCTCAAACACCAGCAGCTTATAAGTACTAGTACTACCACACCCCTGCATATCACACCTAATCCAATCAAGCCTGCTACTGTCATTCATCTGCTATAGCCATTCGGCATCTGAAATCACTGTTATAAAGTTTATATCTCTGGTACTTTGTGTTGCATTTTATGGCATGCATGGCTTGGCCCAACAAAATGACATTTATGTCAGATACAGCTCTCATAACAAATGAGTTTGACACTTCTGATCTAAAATATGTACAAATTAGAACATTATGTACCATACAAATTAGAACATTATGTACCATTCATGACCAGATCTTAACCAACTCTCAATAGCATTGTGATGGACAGGCTAGGTTCCACCTTTCCCTAAGAGCAGCCAATGAGACCTGACAGAATGTTGGGGAGAGAGTTGGAAAACAGCAGTTAGCAGTTGGGAGGTGGATTCTGGGGAGTTAAGAGGGAAAAGGAAGAAATATGACTGAGTGAGACCATGTAGAGGAGCTGCTTATAGCAGTAGCATACCAAGGGGAGGTGCAGTCCACAATGGGTACAGCTTGAGGAAGGCCCTTGAAGGGGGCCCCTCAAAGCCAGCATCATGCTGCGTCCAGCCAAACGTATTTTCTTTTATTTTTAAAGTGCACTTCTGGCTGCAGCCATTTGGGATGCAGGGAAGTATGAGCATAGCAAAAAGCACTCTCAGATAGGCTAAACTTCCCTTTCTCCAAAACTGAAGCAAACTTGCTTAAGAGATCATACAACCAAGCCAGCATACTGATAGCTGCTACAGTAATTGCCAACCTGCAGGTCATTTTCTCCAATAGTCTAGCCTTTCTCCCTTCCTTTCCTTACACCCAGCTCAGCCAGATCTTGCAAAGCAGTAGTTAGGGTGTTGCAGCAAGATAAAACCACCTTCCCCTCTCTTAATTTCTCTCCCTCTTTTCCACACTTATTCATTTCTGTCTCCACCTATTTTTTCATTCGCCCCACCCATTTTCACTTCTTCGTCTCAAGATCTTATCCCTATCCTGCTCAGTGACAGACTGTAGTATAGTAGCAAACTTTTGTTAATATTATGAACAGAAGGCACTGGATTTGCTGAGCACTGTATACTGCACTGGTTTTGCTGGGCTTCCAATCCCCCCCCCCCCTTTGGACTGTCATTCTGTGCTTGACATCAGCTGGCAATGCCACAATGGCACTGGGCTTGCTGCGCACTATAGGTTGCACTGGTTCTGCTGGGCTTCCCAAAAAAAACCCCTGTGATTCTGTGCTTGATATCAGTCCTGTTGAGCTAGCATTGCCACAATGGCAGTGGGTTCTGCTGGGAACCCTGTGACTGCATTGGTACTTCTCGGTTCTCTGTATATTGCACTGGTTCTGCTGTAAAACTGCCCCCCCACTTCAGTTTCTACTGCAGCGATTCTCTGGTCTGACTTTAGTCCTTTGGAAACAATGGAGGATGTGGGCACCTTCTTTGGGGAGGAGTGTGCTTCTTAACATGCAGTCTGGTGAAGCTTGTGAGCACTCTTTTGTGATGCTTTGGCTAC